CAGAGCTACTATCCGATTTACCAGAACCTTGCGCAATGCACACGTGCAAACAAGAGAGTTCTTCTTCTAGATAGACGAGTCCGACCAGTGCCATCTTGCGGCGCCAAGTCAGATGTTTATTATAAATATGCAGTATGAGCAGGCAGATCACATCAGATCGCCAGGTCGCACAGTGTGAGATCAAACATCGTAAGAAGTGAACTTTTAAACCCTGCAGTTTTGTCGTACAGTTTGAGCTGTAGCTGCGTGCGATGATTGAAAATATCGCACAGTGTTTGCCCGGCTTAATGAGACTCTGATGATTAATTTCCAAACTATTTCTGCCTTTATGGCAAAAATGTATCCGACAGACAACAAATCTATTTGGGCTGACCTCTAATCATAAAAGGTGCCTGTGGCACGGCGGTGGCGGCATCATGGTGTATGGAGGCGGATGGGCGATGTTCACACAGCCGCCTGAAGTGATCCAAATCCGATTTTTTTTTTGCCCGTATTCGACCTGTATCCGATCTTTTAATATACAATCTGAACAACACAGATCTGATTTTTTTTTTCAATGTGACCCAGAATCCGATACCAATCCGATCTTTTCATAACAGTCTGAACAACACAGATCAGATTTTTTTCCAATGCGACCCAGGCCACTTGGCTATGTGGTCCTGAATCCGATACCAATCCGATCTTTTCAAATGTGACCTGCGTCTGAACGGCTAGGTCGTATTCATCCGAACTGAACGCCATTAATACTCAGCAAATATCACTTTGCTGCATCTTGCTACGCAAGAAAAACAACCATGGAGGACGATGATGCGGGGAAAAGGCTTTGTTTTTTAAACCTTCTTGAAAAGATTGTGTCATCCATGTTCACTTCCGTAAACACGGAGCACGCTCACTTGTGACGTCATTGCGTCCTCTACTGCACATCGGGTCACTTAAGCTACATGTATGCAGTTCACACGGGAGATCACATACAAGTCGCATTTGTTTAGAAATGCAAAAGATCTCGCTAAAGAGTCGGGTTTCACCAAAAAAATCGGAATTGAGCAACAAAGCCTGCGATGTGAACTCAGCTAAAGGACGGGAACGTCGAAGCAACCAGGCTGGTTGATTCTTACATCTCATAATGAGCTAAAGGCCAAAGCTGCAAATAACTTAACAAGTGTGTTACAGCCAGAAGCCTCCAGGGGGCGTTTAAGTTAAAATAGCGCCCCTAGTGGCTAAAAGTTTCACAACCTCCTCTATATGGAAGCAAAGCGGTGTGGGGACCAGATCTGCTTTGGGGTTTTGGGACAATATGGTCTGATAAAGAGTTTATTTAGTTATATATATATATATATATATATATAATATTGTTTAAGTCCGAATGTTTTGACATTTAAATAAGACTTCTCTACGACTTTAAGATCTGATGTCAGAGGAGGACAAATAGAGAAAAGAATTATTTGTCTAAAATCTTTATTTTAGACAAATAACAGTTATTCTACTTGTGGAAAATGAACGGTTGTTTTTGACATGAATTTAAAAGTATTGTAGCTTAATATGACTAACTGACTGAGCTTAAAGAGGCTAACCTGTTAGCTACTGAGCACAGCTAGCCACAGCGCTACCCATTTATTCTAACAGTTACTTTGTTCACCAGGAACAGATTTATTTCAGTTTTGTTATCGATCGGGTAAAACTTAATCGATCATTAGACACGCTAACGCTACAGATGCTCCCGACTCGGACCAACCGACGCTGTATGATGATGTTATCGTTGTCTGGGCAACCACGATGCTTTACATCATGTAGCGTAACGTCACTGACAGGAAGCAGATCTGGTTCCTACAGCGGCTCAGAAGGAACACTGAGGTTCTTCCTCTATAAAGGAGAGTAAAGGTATGCTAGCGTTAGCGTTAGCAGTGACTGGCAGGCAAACAGGCTAGAAGGAGAGCAGTTTGCCACTTGAACCTGTATGATAAAGATCATTTTAAAGGTAGAAATAGTTTGGAAATAATATATTTTCTGTTTTAACAGCTGCTGAGTTTAATTTGAGAGAGCAGTTATCCCAAATAAAATAATTAAATCTCTCTGCTTTACAGCATCTTTAATAGTCTTTGCCAAGATAGATATAATCTTTCATGTTTCGCAATGATAGATAGTATTATAAATCCTCATTAGAGCGAATAAGAGCTTAACCAGTGGGGGCTGTGTGGAGGTAAACACTGTTTATTGGCCTCTCATGTTCATCTTTGGTGGGCTAGTTTATACCAGCATATTGTTTGCGTTGCCTGAACGCTAACGTCAGTCAGTAAAATCATTGCTCGTACCTCATTGGTCAGCAGGACGCAGGCGAACAAAAACAAAAGCAGATGCAGTGCTCATTGTTCAGTAGCTCAGCAACAGATTCGGTTTAACATTATCCACAAAAAACAAAAAAAAAATCAATCAGAACCGGAACTAAACGGCCTAAAAGTGTTGACATTCAGAAGTACGCAAACCTAATGTGACATTCCTAAATGGTTTCTGTCGTTAGCGCTACACATTCAGAACACGACGTCTCATCGGCTTCATAAAGCAAAGCTACCTACCAATAAATTAACAGGCTGGAATAAGCACTGCATCTTTGATGCAACTAACATTCTTAAATACTCATAAATATTCGTCAGAAAAGAAAAAAATTACATCTAATTAAATAGCATTAAATTATCCAGTAAAAAACTAGAGCGTTCTAAAACGCGTCATAAATAAATATGGCCTCGAAGGGAAAGAAAAGGAACGTAGAGTGTAAACTTTGGCAAAGCTAATCGTCACCCAGGGAGATTTGGCAACAAAATTTGTTCGTTTAAATTACTTCACAGTTAAAAAGAAAACATAAATTACATTAGATAAGAAAAAAAAAATTACATATTGCAAAAACATGGGAAGAACCGTAATGGCAGTAAATGTAACCAAAGCAAGGAGCAGAGAAAACCTCCACCTCTTTCTTCCTTTCATTTTATGCTCGGCAGATTAAGTCGTTACGACATCGAGACACAACTGCAAATGAGAATGACATGAAAAAATGGCCGCCGCCGAATCTGATCCGTGCCCCTCCAGCGGGCGGGGACAGCAGCGCGGCGCCATCAGGTGGGATTTCTTTGGACTAGAAGCTTTACGTACAAAAATAAAAAGAAAACACAGACAGAAACTTAAGGATAAAGCTATTTGACCGAGATTTCAGCAGTTTCTCTCAGCAGTTGGAGATTTGGTTATTTTTTTGGTTTTGTTTTGTTTATTGTTGCGTGAATGGATCAGCAGCGTGGCCCCGCCCCCCTTACCTTGCATGCTAACATGTAATTTAAACGTCTCTGACTTTGCTAGGCCGTGAGAACCCGTCCAGGTTTACGAATATTCTGTGGTTTTTTGATTTTCGTAACTTCTCAACTAAAGAAAGCAGCCTTTTCTTTAATTTATGACCAAACCACGTTTGTTTGAACCACTTAGCTTCATGGTTCCAGTCATTTATTTTTTATTTATGAATTTCCATCTTTACGGGTTCAGGCCACTTTCTTTAGGGTTTGAGCTAAAAATCGCTCTATAGAACAGTTTTAACTAGACTGAAAGCGTTGTCAGAAGGAGTGACGGCGTGCTACTGGTCGTACAACAAAAAATCTTTGGTACGCGCCGTACGGTTCAGATAGCACCGCCCCTGCCGCTCCTGAAGACGCAGCTTTGTCAGTCCGCTAAAATGTCAGCCGAGCATCAATACGCTATAAAAAAATAAAAAAAGATTAATCCTGATTCATCAAACTCTGACACAAAGAGGTTGGTGCGCCCTCTAGGGTGGGGTAGTGTAATTACAAGGGAGCGTGGTTAAAATAAACGGAATAAAATGACCAAGTTTAAGAGATAATAAAAGAAATATTGATGCTAAATTTCCGCTATAGAGTAAAATAAACATTTGGACTTTAATAATAAAAATTTAAAAGGGGGAAGTTTATGTTTATAATACTTTATGTTTTCGCAGTAAAGTTATTTTCCTTCTATATCTGAGTTTGGACAGAGGGGGGCGCCAAAACGTCGGCAGCCACATTGGGGCCAATAACGAAAAGTTAATACAAAGTGCTTCAATGAAGAATGATTGAAATAAAGTTAACGGGTTTCCTGTATTTGTAGGCGGATCTCGGGGGGGGGGGGGGGGGGGGGGGGGGGGGTCACTGCTGCCGGGGGTAACGGTGGATCTTTGGTTTGTTAGCTGATGAGGTTTCTGTTGTTCTTTAAACCGTTTTTTTATTTTACTTTGAAAAACTGCATAGGCACACGTTAAAGACGCTCCTTAACCGTGAGAGACACATTAATATACGGCCATTTTGTTCGGGTCGGACGGAAGAACAGCTGCCGGTTCTCCCCCCCCCCCCCCTCGTGTGGTTTTACCCTTTTCAGTCCAAACATTAGCCTGATGCAACATCAGACACAGCAAAGCTACTTCTGCTCTTCCAGTGATGTCGTCCTTCCATCGAACTTTCCTCCATCTTCTCCTTCCTTCCCTTGACATCGCTGCCACTCTGTTTTTTTTTTTTTTTTGTCTTTTTTTGGTGTTTTTTTTGGTAATATTTCTCATCCAAGTTTTTTTTTTTCCGTTTGTTTGAACAGTTAGGTGCAGAAAAAAGGTTTTCTTTGGTTTCGATTTGTCAATAAATAGAAAAAGTCACAAGTGTCCTTTTTTTTTTATCTTGAATGTCCTTAAAGCCTTTGGCTGCCTCTGATCAGGCCGACTCTCCGGCCCTCGGATCAGGCCGACTCTCCGGCCCTCGGATCAGGCCGACTCTCCGGCCCTCGGATCAGGCCGACTCTCCGGCCCTCGGATCAGGCCGACTCTCCGGCCCTCGGGTCAGGCCGAATCTCCGGCCCTCGGATCAGGCCGACTCTCCGGCCCTCGGATCAGGCCGACTCTCCGGCCCTCGGGTCAGGCCGAATCTCCGGCCCGGATTTCTCTAAAGGAGCAGGGGCTGCTGACTGACGCCTTTGCTTTGGTTTACTTTCTTTTTATTTTTGGTTTCATAGCTTCGAGTGAAAGATGATTGAGGTGAAGTTGGATGGATGAACGTCTGAAGCGGAGCTGGGGGGCTGTGGTTGCTCAGGTTGTTCGATCGACGGACGTTCCGACCGGCCATAAACGTCGTTAAATCTGCGATAATTTATCTGAATTCATGGCTAAAGGTGATTTATTTGTTTTTAATCTTCTTCCGTCCCGCTGACCCTCAGGAAGGACGGAGCCGCCAGGCATCGTCTTTAGATTGTCCTCTTTAACTATTACAAAGGCCCTGATCCGCCTGGGGAGTCAGTCCTCCGCTGGGTTCAGCTGATATCGGATCGGTTATATCAGCAGGAAACACCGATTCCAGACCTTTACGGAGGGTCGATCGGAATCAGCCGATATTTAACAGAAAGTTTGTCCAGAAAACGTCTCGGTTTGGACGCTTTGGAGGGCCTGGCTACATGTCGGGTCGGTACCGAATGGACTTCGGCCACTGTTTAGAAAAAAAATGGCATCCTGAGTTTTCTAAGATGCGAAGCCCACTCGGGTCGGCCGTCTGCTCCGGTTCTATTGCAAAGAAAAGAATGTGCTTCGGGATTGTGCTCACGTACGCGTTAGGTTCTGTTAGCCACGAAGCTGGACTGCGGGCCGGGTCGTTGTGCTTGCATATTTTGGCCACCTGAAGGTTCGGCGCCGGCGGCTCTCTGAACGCTGGGAGCGGCGGCGGTTTCTTTGGTTTTGGTTTGGTGGAAGTAAAGATCCATTGGGTGACCGAACGGTCTATTGCTCGGCTCGGACCGATCCGTTTCTACACCCCCGACTCGTGATACGTCTTTGAACCTGGACTAGAACCGCCGGAAAACGACCCATTCTGCAGTCATGACGCTTCCCGGTTCGGTTTCCTTTCTTAGCTTATATTGCATATTAGAAAACACTCTTTGTCTTCTAGTCTTTGGTTTCTGGGCTCGTGTTTCAGCCTCTCGTCCTAAAGGAGACATCAGCAGTTGAAGGGGGGTGCCCCCCCCTCCGACGTGAGGTTTTGTATGTTTTTAATGAGTTTAGCCTCCAGCGTTTTCTATGTGTTTAGTTTAAATTTGCAGAAGGCGGTTTGGCTGGAAGTCGTGGCAGTGAGCAGCCCCTCTCTCTGAACCCTCAGGGAAAGAAAAAGGAAAATCCTGGAAAAACTTTGCTTTTCCATCTCGCACCCCCCTCCCTCTGCGGTTTCCCCCCCTCCCCCATCATGCTTTGGTACAAGTGCTGGACGCCGAGGACTGTGCTCCGGGGCTGGCGCCGTCGTCCGTCCATTTGTCCAGGCTGCGGCGGCGGGCGTTCATGAAGAAGTTGCTGACTGTGGTGAGTTCGAGGCCCAGCTGCTGAGAGATGGTGAGCTGCATCTCTTTGGACGGCCGCTTGTTCTCCTTGAAGATGGCCAGCAGGGTGCGCCGCTGCAGGTCGGTGAAGACCAGCCGCGACTTCTTTGGTGTGTTGTTGCGATCCTTGCCGTTGTCCTGCTCCTTCCGCTTGCATGCTGGGAAAAAACGAGGGAAACGGAAAACCTTTAACAATGTCTGTCATCTTATCGGCACTGAGGCTTGGTAGCAAACATTGCAGTAAAAACAGACAGTTTCTTCTGAGTCCTGCTTAATAAACAGTTTCCACACCTCAAATAAAGAGACATTTAGTCATTTTTACTTAAAAATATATTTTTTTGATTCCCTTTCAGAATAAAACATGTGTTGATGATCAGACTGATGCCTCAGTAGTTCAGAATGCAGCCTGTTTTCCTGGATTTCACCTCAGATCAGAAGTTCCCGCCCTATTCGGCGGATGTGATGTCAAGTGCATCCATGTTAAATGCAAACAGTGGAAGCGTAATGCTACGTTCACACCGCATGCAATTTCAGAAGCAAGGAAGCTCCTGCTGCTTCATCTCTGATCCACATTAAGGTCAGACGTCCAGTAAAGTGAGTCTGATGCTTCTGCTGCTCCTGTGTTCGATGCCAGAGAGCAGCTTTGCTATATTAGCTGTGATCAGCGGGTAGAAATGTTCCAAATGTTCTGCCATAAGGTCCGTTGAATTAACAACAAAATAAAAGTTAGTCTTTGGTTTAACCATTGCAGTTAAAAAAATCCCAAAACGTTTCCTTTCTTCATTTTTGTAAATGCCATTTTTCTATAGAAGTAAATCTGAGTCGCTGGGATTTGAATTAAAAATGCCACTGAAATTTAAATGTTGTATGTTTATACTTACTGTTTCAGTGTTAAAATATATTCAGAACACATTTTTGACCTAAAAAAAATTCATTGTCATTATTTCTACACAGTTGAAATTTCATTTGTTATTTTCTCTTCAAGCTAAAAATTCACATTACTATTTCAAAGTCATTACATTTTCAATACTTATTTTTCAGTGTTAAAAAAATCTGCATATAAAAAATTCAACCTTTCAAAATTCAAACTCAATATTTTCAGCCTCCTGAGATTCAACCGGCTCTATTTCACCGTCTTAAATTCGGCGTCTAAATTCAGTGTAAAAAGGGAAGGGTTACTTCAGGTCACAGACATTAGCAATGGATTGTGGCGTCCAACACCCAGCCAATCCCGTTACGGTTTCTTAGTCACGTGACATGCCGCTTGTGATGCTCATACGAAAGGAGCCGGTCATGCTAGCTAACGCTAACTCAACTACAGAAAAATTAAAGTAATAAACTCACTGCTGAGTTAGCGTTAGCTAGCATGACCGGCTCCTTCCGTATGAGCGCCACAAGCGTTGCGTCACGTGACTAAGAAAACGTAACGGGATTGGCTGGGTGTTGGACGCCACAATCCATCGCTAATGTCTGTGACCTGAAGTAACCCCTCCCTTTTTACTCTGAATTTAGACGCCGAATTTAAGACGGTGAAATAGAGCCGGTTGAATCTCAGGAGGCTGAAAATATTGAGTTTGAATTTTTTTATATGCAGATTTTTTTAACACTGAAAAATAAGCATTTAAAATGTAATCACTTTAAAATAGTAATGTCAATTTTTAGCTTAAAGAGAAAATAACAAATTAAATTTCAACTTTGTAGAAATAATGACAATGAATTTTTTTTAGGTCTAAAATGTGTTCTGAATATATTTTAACACTGAAACAGTAAGTAGAAACATACAACATTTAAATTTCAGTAGCATTTTTATTTCAAATCCCAGTGACACAGATTTACTTCCATATTTTTTTTATTTCGTTTTAAAAACGGAAAAAAAAAATCCAAATGCTTGTTTTGTTTTTTCGTTTTTGTTTTGAAATGAAATTGCTGAATTTGCTTTAATACAAATATGTAATTTCAGACGGAATTTGCTTCTAACAGCCTCTGGGCTTAAGGGGCAAAGGATGCTGGAATTAAAGGTAGATTAAATAAAAAGCTTCACAGTTTCCAACCTAATAAGATATAAACATTTGTTTCGTTTTGTTATTTTAGTGTCATTCTGACATTTAATGTGAATAAAAACGGAGAGGATGGAGCTGTTGATGACGTTGTTTTTTAAAGAATAAAATCAGTGATAGTAAAATAAAAACGATAAACTAATGTTTGGATTTTACAGTAAAACTTTAAAACTAATATTTTTTTCATCTGGACTTAAAGACACTGAAAGTTTAATCTGTTTCCCAGATTAGTGGAGCAGAAGAACTGAAAGCAGCTCCTCAATGTTTGGTTCTGATACAGCCGACCTGAACGGTCTGGCTGTTGATCCACTGTCTAGCTGGATTAGCTGAAGCTGGATGCTAACTTTGAAACGTTTGAATCAGCTGAAGAACGTTTAGTTCATCTTCTCTGCTTTTATATAGAGAATGGGTGTGGTCTGCATCGCTATGGTAACTGATGCTGTTTATAACCTGACAGCAGCTAAATGCAAACACAGGCCTGTCAGGTTGGAGGTTTCTCCAAACGGAGCGTCTGCGATGGGCTGATGACCCGTCCAGGCTGGACCACGCCTCTCAGCCGGTGACAGATAGGCGCCGGCCCCCGGTGACCCCAGGGGCCCCCGAGCTGCAGGTTGACCTCTGGTTTAAGGGGTCAAATATAAGAACAGTGAGGAAGCCAGAGAAGCTGCTGAAGGTGAGATTAAAAGGCCGGGCAGACGAGGAGGTCTGGGTGCGTTTGATTCGATTACCTCCCTGAATTAAGTATGCACGAGTCAGAGCCCAGCTGATCAATAACAATCCGGTTAAGGACTCGATAACTGAACTGTTATGTAAGGGGAAGCTACCCCCGATGTAAACACACACACACACACACGTGTCCCTCCGCTCAGCTCCTGACCCCCCCACCCCCCATCACATCTTCATGGCCTCTCATCCTTCCTCCTCTGCTGTGACTGAAGGGATTACAAAGCTGTCAGTTCCTGACTCAGGCCCACAGGGGGCGCTGTGGATCTCTGAATACCAGCTGTGCTGAGCTAAATATTCAGAAATGCAGAAATGATTTAAAGCTTTTGCCGTTTTACTTTAATATCGGCATCATAATAATTTTTAACCAGCGTTTCTTTTCAGTCTGTTTTTATCTTCCTGTTTCCTTCTAATGCGTAACGTTTTATTTGCCTCTTTAAGCTCTAATCAATGTATTTACTCTCCTATAAATACCTCAGGGTTCCTTTTCAGCTCGTTTTGTTTGATTCAGCTTCTAGTTTTATGGCGTCGAGAGTCAGGAACATGGTGTTCTTCACTCCCAACATCTGTTTGTCTGTTTTTTGTTGATTCAGAGTTTCACCCTGAGCCGATTGCTGGACTTTGGACGAAGAGGCCAGAACTAGAGCAGCTCGCTGACTCCTCAGCCACAGAGAGGAACCTGGACTTTATAGAAATGGTGCATTTTGTTTGAGCAGCAGTCGTTGACTCCACCCACTTCTCCAAAACTAGCCCCGCCCCTTTAGGCAGTAACGACCAGCGATGTTATATTAAACTAATTTCCTTTCTGATCCAATATTCGGTTGCTAAACTGATACGTTTTACAAATAGTGTCTGGAAGTAAATAAACTTTTAAAATATAATTTCAATTAAAATAATTAGGATAATGAATAAATGCCGACTATAGTTACATTTTAAGATGTAAAACAGTTTAAGCAAATTGGACTGATTGGAAATAATTTATAAACTGTTATTTTTTTCACCATATGCTATAAATTAATATCTATAATTTACATTTATGTTAAAATTTACAATCATATCTGTATCATAAATCTACATTTTAAAATAATGTAATATATATATTCAGGCTATATATTTAGATTAAACGTATAAATTTGTAGATACAGATTATTTATTTTTAGAAATTTTTCGCTGAATGTTAGAAAAATCACTAAATGTAAAGAAAGTGCCTTAAAAGTGAGAATTTTCGGACAGCTGGTGGATTTTAGCCGATCGTTTCTGTCTGAATCAGTGGGATCGCTATCGTTGGGTTCTTCCTTCCGTTCTCCAGCTGTTAATTCATAACGATCCGCTTTATGGGGCCACAAAGATCAGCAAACTGTCATGATCACGGTGCTGATGGCTGGCTTAATTGCTCATTTCATTCACCTGTCTAACTCTGCCCCATTTCTCATCACTTCTCATCTGATCCACCTGCTCCTGCCTCCATTTAAGCTGCTTGGTCCCAGCCATCAGGGCCAGATTATTCTTGAGCCTTTGCTGTGAGATTTTTCTAGCTTTACTTAATGTGTTCTGATTGCATGAGCCTGACCTGTTTCTGTACACTGCAAAAACGATCGAGAAATAAGTAAAAAGGTCTTAAATTAACTGTATTTACCCTTCATTTGAGTAGAAAAATAATAGGATTTGCAAATGGAATGAGATTTTTTTACTCCTAAAATAAGATCATTAGATAATATGCATTTAATTGCTATTTCTCATTTTAAATATAACTTGTCTTGTTCCATTGGTAAATGAACTCAATTAACTCTTCAATTCAAGAAAAAAAATGCACTTATTTTAAGAAAAAAATACCTTTTTAGATTAACATTTTTTGCAGTGTATTTGGACCATTGAACCTGCCTACCCCTGTTCTGATCTGTTTGCCTGACCTGTCTTCGGATTCTGTTGGATTCTACTGTGGACTGAACCTGGATCTGCCTCTTGACTTTAACCCTCTGGATTATCCTTCCTCCGTCTTCTGCTCGGATCGGATCTCCTGTCGGTTCTGTAGTCTTCAAGGCTTCGCCGTCTGGAACTCTGCGGCAAACGCTGCGTTTTCTCAGATGAGCGGCTGCTATCAACCTCCTTCTCTGAGCCCTGACAGATCTCTTCACCAGGTTAGTGACTCGCGCCTTCAGATCATCCTCCGTCAGGTTTTCGTGGTCTACTTTTTTAAAATGTATTTCCTACTAACTCACTCTGGTTGCATACAAAGTTTCATTTATAATGTGTTTTTGTTTTGTTGGTAGTTTTTTTCTTATGGTCCTGCCAGCAGATGGCGCCACATCTGTTTCTGTTCCAGTGCTGGAATTCTATTTAGGCTCCAAAAAGAGGATCTAAACACCATCAGGACGGAG